TAAATGTCAAGTTTAGGTGACAGATATCTTCGAGGTAAATGAGATGTCTTCGATGAAAGAAATATCCAGAGTAGAGGTGATCGTCGTTCCATTAGATGGTGCTTCTATGCAAATATGAAGATTAACAATTTAATTAAAATATTACAATACGAAATGGTAATCAACTAATTACATTAAATAAGTATACCATATCTCTATCTGGAATGAACTTAGACAATGGATCATTTTCAGTGGGCGAAATAGATAATCCATATACGTACATCTGATCCTCATCCATCAACGTTGTCAACTCAGTGTGGACTTCGAGCTGACATGTTGATATTTTAACGAGTTAATGGTCATGTATTGAGCCGATAAATATGCATACAATATAAATCGCAAATGTATAGTACTCACCTGAAAATCATCGAGGATAAATGTCAAGTTTATGTCATTTATCTTATCTTATGCTTACTAGTAATGCATCCGACAACAGTTATCGAATAGCCTGATATGCCCATGTCGACAACACTTACAATTATTATGTATAAAAATTTAATAAAAAGTTTAACATTCATTAGGTTAAACATTTACCTGTAAAACCAACAGAAAGCCATATGCATCATACTTACCCTCGACCTTCTCCGACTTTAGTGTCCTGCACTGTCTTGAAAAAGTGTAGCGTATCTGTATAAAACCTATGACCTCCTGGATGGTTGTTGAAGGCATCAAAGTAATCAACAACATCCAATGAAAAATGATCAGTCAACGTTTTACGGTGTCGACACCTAAATATACTCTCTAGGATAAACACCTATCCCAACTTTAATTTGTCCAACATGTGGTCACATTTCTTGAATGTGTCCTCTAATTGTGGGGGTGTACATGTGCTTTACCAACAAAATATTCACCTAACAACCTTTTATTTGTCTTAATATAAGCTTTCTCTACTTCTTCACCCGAGCACTTCAAAACTATAATGAGGGCAAACTCAAAGATTGAGAATCTTGACACCTTCCCGTCCCCTAGCCCAAGATGTAGTGCATTACCACCGACAGGTTTAAGTAGCTAAAGTAATTATAAATCAATGATCTAGCCACAAAACTGCATGTCCCTCAATAGATTGAAAGACTATAGGAATGACTGGCGTAATATGGCTACATGCTCCTCATCTAGCCTCTTTAAAACAATCGTATAGCTAAAAAGTTACAATACGACGTAACTCTTCCCAGATGATCTCTCATTCTAACGTCGAGGTGGCACTCCATCCTGCAATAATTTCAAATGTTAAAACCATATATAAAGAGATTATGGAATAAAGCATAATATCTTAAAATTCAACCAACCAAATTGTATATTACTAGATGCAAAAAATAAATTCATTTCATCGCATACAAAAAAGTACAAATAGAAAATTAAACAGCGTAGCTCACCATTTCTAGAAACTCTGCCGCTATAAAACGCCAAAAATGAACACAAAAACACCCCCATTATTCCATTTTCACCATACATTAACCTTAGTACATGTATTAACCTCATAAATAACAAAATTTACCAATATTATATGTAAAAATCAAATCTATAAATTATCATTTTCCAAAACCATAAAGTACTAAGCTTTAATACAAAAACTAGCCTTGTCTAGTGAAGAAGAAGAAAAGTGAGTCGGGTCGAGTTCGTCTGTAAGGTAGGGGAGTCCAGAACGTGATTTTTTTTTAAAATTTTGATCTCTTTTTCTCACTTTTCTTACGAGGGTATAATGGGCTTTTTCAAACTTTTAACCTATTTATCTTTTTTTTTTGAAGTTTAAAACTAGTGAAAGGCTAATGTGGAATGGAAAATAGGCTGGGTCAACCTGCCATTGGCCACAATTTCCTCCAACCACCATAAATACGTATTGTTCCATTATTTTAATGCCCTTTGCTTCAAATTTTCAACCGAAGAGGAAAGTATATTAGGTCGAAGAGTCACTTGTGCCTTGGTATGGGTAAAAGATCTTGGGATAATTAGGCCTAGTATGACCCATTAATATCCTTTCACTTTTTAAAATTTCATTAACCGAATAATATACATTTTCAGAAGAAAAATGAATGCAGTTCAACCCCAACCAAATCCTAAATCAGGGATTTCTCTCTGTCAATTTTAGGTGATTTTCATGATTTTGGCAACGCTTTTGATCAGCCACCATCAAACTCTACCTTTACCTCTCCATTCATTCAATTCGAGGTTAGGACAGAGTTTTGTTAGTTTTTTTGGTAAATTCTCTTTCTCTCTCTCGTAAATTTATTTTTTTGGAGACAATCATCACAAACGATGTTTTGTTAGAAATTCTACTGAAATCACGAAATACTTGTCTCGATAAGTATTCAAGAGAGTGTGTAGCAACACCATTGGTAAGACTAGCAAAGCAGGTAGGAAGTAGTGAATGGTGGCAAAATAAGGAAAAAGGGTGGTAAACGATGGCGGAATAAGGGATTTCGATGCAGTACCCCGATGCATTGAAGTAAAAAATAGAGAATTTGCTCGTTGATACAAATTCATTGAGAAGAAGAATAGTTCAGAAGGTGGTAGGAATAATGCGTCGTGCACAAAATGTGGGTTCCTTGGTTATAGGTATTTGTTAGTATTGTAAATGGTTCATGCATGTATCATTCTCCAGATAATGCTCGTGTGATATCTAATAACTTGAAATTAGTCATTATATTAGAATTTAGGACCTTATCACGTGGACATGATAGTTTAGGGACCTAATTGATTATTGGCTAACATTTTAAGGATTAAAGTGCAAATATTTGAATCCCAAAGTGCTAGAATCTTTCATATTTTGTGATAAAGTTAAATAAATAAATTTGCTGGATACTGTGATTATTTTTTTAATTATTTAACAATATTACAAATTCTGTTGGATATTATGATTATTTTTAAGCATTCAACACTATCACAAATTCTGTTGGATATTATTATCTTTAAATGTTTAATTATTTGAATAAATTATGAGACTTATCCCATGCGTCATCAGAATACTATAAATAGGTGCATGATTTTCAAGAAATTTACAACTCACTTCTTTCTTTTCTCTCTCACAACTAGTCTTTGACACATACACATATTTAGCATTTCAAAAACCTTTAGCACTCACGCTGTTTGAGAAAATTTGGAGTGAAAATCGTACAAGCCAATTTCTTCGATTGCCTTTATTTTTTTCCACACAACAATAACTATATATGTGCTGTCATACTGTACCTTTGGAATATATATTTGTGGGTCCATATGTATGTTCTAAGTTTCGGGAAGTTCTAGTAGTACTACGCACATAAAACTCATACCACCTAAGTTCAACGTAGTTTTCTTGTTTCCTTCATTCAAGTTCTATGATTCCAAAAGTTTATGATTAGATATTTATGAACATGTATATGCTTATTGATATTTTCACACCCTTAAGTTTTCTCCCTTTTAGGTATTATCATTGGGAAGATTGGAGTTTGGACTTGGCCGTAGTGGTGGAAATAAATTTGAACTTTCCTGAAGTTTTCTTTTCGAAATAAAATTTTTAAGTATCATGAACACGTGGTGCGTGTGTGTGTATTTTTTGTTTTATATATATATATATAAGTTGATTTTCTTAATTTATGAAATGCTTTTAAATATTTTTTTTTGAAGTATTATTTTTTTATTGCCCTTGGGCTTTAGGACTCGAGTGTCACAAAGTGGTATCTGATTGGGTCTACGTTTTTATAGATTGCAAAAAACAAAAAAAAAAAATTGTTCACGTCAATAAATAGTGATGTGGTCACTGTTCACATTTTTTTAAAAAAATAATTGATAATGTATGTATGTATAAAATAATTTTTATGTTTTAATTATTAATTTAGTTATTGTATTAGAATAACTAATAACAAGATAAAGATTCTTTGGTGACAAGTTTATTTAAAAGTTCGCCACGGGCAACGACAATCATCCAAACTTCAATCTCCCAATCAGGTAGAAAAATATGCGTAATTTATTTAGTTATTTACATTAAATATGTTTTGCTAATTTTCAAGAATTTATGTGAAAATCATGAATAAATAAGTATATGTTCTTTACCATGTTAACCAATTTATTATGTAAAATAGCAATCATGAATTTTCGTGACAATAACGACGTAGCAAAGTGTGGATAAAAGATGATTTTATGATTTTATGTGAATTATAAAAATCTTATTATTAATATTGCACGTTATGAAATCAAAATTTTTTTTTTTTTGGTATTATGTGATTTTAGACTAATGATTTTGTTAGAGAATTTATCAACTTGTGAGAATAGTTGACGTTATAATATATCTCGAACAAATAATAGTCGAATTAGAAATAAAATAGAAATAAAAATAAAATAATTGCCTTTAAATATTTCCATCCATTTTTATTGTTTGAGTTTTCTTGGTTTGGGTGTTCGAAAAACTGAATTTGTCAAAATGATATAAATTGTCCATGTCAAGCTTAGGATTTAAGCGGTCCACCTTACCTAGAAGCCATTTAGTTGAGCGTTATTCAAACCGATAGAACGAAAACAGTATTACAACTTATCTTTACAAGTCTTATTTTCAAAAACTCTTAAGAACATTCCATTTTAGAAATCATATTTCAAGAAATTCCTACTTTACGAAACTTCTATTGTTAGAAAACCCGATTTTTAAAAAAATTCCATTTTCAGAAACTTCCATTTTTGAATCCTAAATACGAATAGTGATACTAATTAAGCCTTTTATGTCATTTGTAGATGGTTAGAGGTTCAGCCCAAACAAGAAGGTTCAGCTTATTTGATTGATTCCGAGCCCATGCGTTATTTATATCTCCTAAGTTTGTGAGCAAACTCAATGCACGTAATGAACATATGGGTACTCCCTTAGAATTTGTTATGCCCTCAGGAAAAATGTTAGGTGCAGATCATATAGTGAGGACAGCTAGGTAAAGATTGATGGTAAATCCTTAGAGATGAACTTATATGTTTTAAACATTCAAGAGTTAAACGTAATTTTGGGAATGGATGGGCTTTCTAAGAATCATGCAACTATTTTGTGTTTTGAACAGAAAGTGGTTGTTAAGCAGCCTAGAGATATAGAACTTCTTTCAGCATTGAAGGCTAGAAAACTCTTGAAGTCAGAAGGTTGTAGGGGATTCTTGATGGCAATAATAACTAAGGAAGATGAAGTGCTAAAAGTAAGTGATGTTAATGTGGTACAAAAGTTTTTAGACATCTTTCGTAATGATCTGAATATGATGCCTCCAGAACGGGAAGTGGAGTTCACGATTGATCTGGTTCCTAGTTTACACCAATTTCTTAGGCCCTTTATAGGATGACACCAAAGGAATTACAGGAACTGAAGGCCCAAATAGAGGAATTGATGGGAAAAGGATTTATTCGACCCAGCGTATCATATTGGGAAGTGCCCGCATTGTTTGTCAAGAAAATGGATAGGACAATGAGGATGTGTATTGATTATCGAAAACTGAACAAAATTACTTTTAAGAATAAATATCCATTGCTGGAATCGAAGACTTGTTTGACCAACTATGAGGGCCAAAATATTTTCAAAGATTGACTTGAGGTCGGGATATCACTAGTTGAGGATCAAACCTAGTGATTTCTCAAAGACAGCCTTTAGAACTCACTACTGTTACTACGTGTTTTTAGTTTTGCCATTTGGCTTAACAAATGCTCCTGGAGTTTTTATGGACCTGATGAATCGAGCTTTCCATGAATACTTGGATATTTGTGTCATCGTATTCATTGATGACATCTTGGTCTACTCTTAAAGTAAAGAACATAAGAAATATTTGAGAATTGTGTTAGGGATCTTGAGAAAGGAAAGACTTGTTGGAAAATTCAAGAAGTGTGAATTTTGGTTGGAACATGTGGTATTTCTTGGACATGTATTCACATCACATGGAATAGTCAAAGTAGATGCAACATTGAACTGGTTTAGGATAACCAATGTACGAGAGATTTGCAGCTTTTTAGGTTTAGTAGGATACTACATCAGGTTTATTGAAGGATTCTCCAAAATATCCGGACCATTAACAAATTTGACTTACAAAGGGTATAAAGTTTGAATGGACAGAAAAATGCGAACGTAGTTTTGAAGAATTGAAAAAGAGATTACTTAATGCACCAGTATTAACCATACCTGGAGGACCGAAAATTTTTGTGATCAATATTGATGCATCCAAGCAGGGTATTGGATGTGTCTTGATGCAACAAGGTAAGGTAGTTGCTTATGCACCCGAGATAGTTGAAGCCTCGTGAGCAAAATTAACTCACACATGACTGAGAACTAGCTACAGTAGTTCATGCTTTGAAAATTTGGAGGCACCATCTTTACGGAGAAAAGTGTGACATCTATATAAATAATAAAAGCCTTAAGTACATCCTCACTTATAAAGAGTTGAACATGAGGCAAATGAGATGGCTTGAATTTGTAAAGGATTACGATTGTGAAATTCATTAACATTTTCACTCAATAGGAGTTGAACATGAGACAGAGGAGATGGCTTGAATTGGAAATGGATTACGATTGTGAAATTCATTACCATCTGACAAGGCAAACGTAGTAGCTAATGCCTTAAGTAGAAAGACAATGGGATAAATGGCGATGTTGATAACACAAAGGATTTTGTGGAGAGAATTTGAGAGATTAAATTTCAAAGTGGTAGCTACTTTCCCTAATTCCATTTCTTGAGTGGCAGCACCTTCAGTTCGATTGACTCTCCATGATTGGATTAAGAGTTATCAAAAAGGTGATCAATCCTTCGAGTTTATCAAAGCTAGGATTGATACAAAAAGAGGAAAGATTTCACCATAGCTGAGGACAAATCATCATATTATTAAGCAAGTCTGTGTGTACCAGATTTTGAGGAATTGAAAACTGAAAACTTGGAGGAATCTAACTCTACCCCTTAATTTTGTAATCTAAAAGGTACAAAGATGTATCGTGACCTAAGAGCTATGTTTTGGTGGAAAAATATGAAGGAAAAATATGTGGATAAGTGTCCGATATGTCAGCAGGTAAAAGCCGAACATCAACGACCATCAGGGTTGTTGCAGCCGTTGGAGGTTCTAGAATAGAAATGGGAATATGTTATTACAAACTTTGTTGTAGGTTCTTTGAAGTCAGTGAGAGAGCATGACGTTATTTGAGTGATTGTAGACTGATTAACCAAGGCATCTTATTTCTTACCCGTTTGCACGACATTTTCCATGGATCAATTTACGTAGTTATACGTTAATGAAATAGCAAGGCTACATGGTGTCCCAGTTTCAATTGTATCAAATAGAGATCTAAAGTTCACATTTAGTTTCTGGAAAGCCTTACACCAAGCTATGGAAACTAAGGTAAAATTTATTACGACTTTTCATCCCCAAATATATGGACAGTCTGAATGAACGATTCAAACACTGAAGGATATACTTTGAACTTGGATCTTCAAGTTTGGTGGACATTGGGAAAAATATTTACCCTTGATTGAGTTCGCATACAACAACTATCACTCCTCTATTAGCATGGCACCATATGAGGCATTGTATATGAGGAAGTGTAGATCACCAATTCATAGGGATGAGGTCGAAGAGCAAGAAATTTTGAGTCCAAAAATCATTGAACTCACAGTACATGCTATTGAGAAAATTAGAGCCAGTATGAAAATGGCTCAAGATAGGCAAAAGATTTATGCAGCTAGAAGAATTAAAGATCTAGAGTTTATTGTAGGTTACAAGGTATTCCTCAAGATTGCACCGATGAAAGGAGTGTTACTCTTTGGCAAGAAGGGTAAGCTTAGACCACGGTACATTGGTACTTTTGAAATTTTGAAACGGATTGAAAATGTTGCATACCAATTAGTTTTGCCACCAGAGCTTTCAGCAGTACATAATTTCTTTCATGTATCAATGCTCAGAAAATATGTTCCTGACTCAACTCATGTTGTCAGGCATCAATCATTGGATATTCAACCGAATCTGAGTTACTAAGAAGCATAATATACATCATAGCTTAGAAAGTACAGAAGCTTCACAATAAAAGAAATAGCGCTAGTTAAAGTGTTATGGCAACATCATTTAGTAGATGAGGCCACTTGGGAATGTGAGGAAATAAGATCCAAGTATTTGCCAACATTTTGCCGATGAAAATTGAGATACATTTCGAGGACGAATTTTAATTTAAGGGAGGTAGATTGTGATATTTCATAACTTGAAATTAGTCATTATACTAGAATTTAGACCTTATCGTGTGGACAATATATTATAGGTACCTAATTGATTATTGGCCAATATTTTAGGGATTAAAGTGCAAATATTTGAATCCCAAAGTGACGACCTCTTAAATTTTGTGATAAAGTTAAATAAATAAATTTGTTGGATATTATGATTATTTTTTAAGTATTTAACAATATCCCAAATTCTGTTGGATATTATGATTATTTCTAAGTATTCAACATTATCACAAAGTCGGTTGTCTACAGATTATAGGACATTCTTTGGGTAGGGTATTACTGCACTTTTAACGTATGTATTAGGTGAACTAAAAGAAATGTCAACCGCAACCTGTGTTGCATTTTCTCTAGGTTCATTTATATTGTCTTATGAAATTAATCTTGTTGTGGTGTGATCCAAATTCCATATTATTTGAGTTTTGTTGAATATAAGAAGTCTAAAGAGCTTGGGTTTTGAGAGTCCTAATTAATGAAGATCAAATTTCATCAAAAATTGAGAATTTGCTTCGAAAAGGACTTTGAGATGAAGAAAACAAGTTGAAGTGGAAAAAAAGGAAAAATGAAAAAGAAAGGATGAGTGACACAAGGGGCGCCACGGTGCCGACGTCCTGATCAATACAGAGAACTCGGAAGGTGGCGCCGAGGCACAACGTTGTTTTTTAGTTCCCTTGCACATGGTAAGAATGAAGTATGATATCCCATTGTTGGATAGAAGTATGAGATTTACCTTATGGCAAGTGAATATATGATCGGTTCTGGCACAGATGGATTTTTAGGAAGCCTTGCTTGGCTTTGATAGGATGCCTGCTACTTGAACTTAGGATGAAAATTAGCGTAGGGATCGGAAAGCCCAATCTCAAATTCATCTACATCTTTCAAATCAAATTCTTTAGGATGTTCTAAAGGAGAGAAATGCCGCTGCGTTGTGGTTAAATGTGGAGTAACTTTACATGACAAAGAGCTTGAACAGCAAGCTACACTTGAAACATCACTTGTATTCTCATTGAATATCTGAAAGTGCGTCATTGGATGATCACTTAATTTTGGTCAAAGAAATCGTGGCCGATTTTGAGACATTGAAAGTTAAGTATTACGATGAAGACTTGGCGTTGGTGCTGTTGTGTTCGTTACCTGCATCATATGTGACTTTTAGAGATATTATTCTCTATATTCAGGATACTCTTACTGTGGAAGACGTCTATGATGCTTTACTATCTAAGGAGAAGATGATGCATCTTGCTGGAGGATCTGAGAATCATGCCGAAGGCTTGGTTGTGCGTGGGAGAAATCAAGACAGGAATCTTGGCAAGAATATGAGGGAAAAATCGAAATCTAGACATATCACTATTGTAAGAGTAAGGGGCATATTAGAGCTGACTGCCATACATTGAAAAATAGAAATAAGCTACTGGTACTACTGAGTATGGAAGCAACTCGTTGATAAATCGGAGGCTGATGTTGTGGAGGATGGGCAAAATGAATGAGAGCTTCTTGTGATTTTTGACATAGATTCCAAACCTCGTGAGGAATGGGTTCTTGACATGGCTTGTACTTTTTACCTGTCCCAACAGAGACTGGTTTTCAACATGTGAAGGAGTTTCAAGAGGTGCAGTGATTATGAGAAACAATGGGCCTTGCAAAATTGCCGGAGTTGGTACAATCAAAATCAGAATGATCGAGAACTGAAGTGGAATCTCATATCTTTGAGTGTACATTACTCAAAGGATTATAGATACACTAGTGAATGTGGAGTTTTAAAGGTGAGTCGGGGTGCTCTTGTTGTCATAAAGGGACATAAATGCTCTACGCAGTTGTACATTTTGCATGGTTCCACAGTAATTGTGGATGCAACTATTTCTACTTCTTATTTGACAGATGATGAAATTATAAAACTTGACATATGCGGCTCGAGTATATGAGTGAAAATGACTTGGAGGAGTTGAGTAGAAGGGGACTTCTTAATGGGCAGATGACCAGCAAAATAAATTTTTTGTGAGCATTGTGTCTTTGAGAAACAGAAAAGAGTCAGATTCATGAAAGAAAAACACAACACGAAGGGAACACTTGAACATATCCATTCAGATCTTTGGGGA